TAATTATCTCATTCTTTTTATTTAGCACAGTAGCATGCTGCACAGATTTGTAGCCTAGGAGCAGTATACAGTGTAAGTGTATTGTAGGCTATACCATTTCTGTTTGGATGAGTACACTCCATGATGTTTGCATGATGACAATATTGCCTAAATCTCCATTTCTCAGAATGTAGCTCCTTTGTTAAACAATGCATGATTGTATATGCCTGAGAGACAGAGATATTTGGTGAGTTAAATATTTAATGACTATCAGATGGATATCAATTTCCACTAATGGTACCCTCCAAGGTCATGATATGGTTTCAGCACTTTCAGACATCACATCTAAAGAAACTGCATTCAGAAAGAACCATTTTTCTTGTTCTGATTGCTTAATAACAGCAAGGGAGTTTGCCCTGGAAGTCCTTAACACACTTCCTTCATTTAGTATTGGCCAGAACTGTACCATATGTCTCACGTGCCCATTCTTTTCACAGCTCGCTGCAGCCTCTAACTCCTGGGCTCAAGTGATCCCCCTGCCACGACAGTCATGTGGACCTGCTCACATGTTTATTCTTTTTTAAAATATAAGACTGGTTATTAGGTGACATGTGTCCATTCTTAACCAATCACTGGCCAGAGGAATGGGATTATTACGGTTGGCTCAGCAGAATTGGGATCTACTTTCTAGAGCCAGGGGTTGGGTCACTTCCCCTTGAAGCTCATACCTATCTGATGTTTGTATAAATGTTGGAAAAGGCACTTCTCTGACATTTTTAGTAAGCCATGTCAACAAAGGAGATCGTTCCATACTTTCAGTATCTCAGGCATTACAACTGTTAGGTAGCTAGGATGTCAGCTTTTCTAGGTGCCTTGCTTGGGCGCTGTCTTGAGCAATTACCCTATCTGTCTTGAGCACTCACCTCCTTTTGGTGTTGCCCTACCCTTCCTTAATGCTATGCTAAGCAACTGCTACACCCAAAGACGGAGGGAATGCTTCATCCATCTTGGAATTCCCCTCACCCCTCCAAGTGGGCCTTTGGAGAGGGAGCGCCTATACAAGAAAGAATTGAGGACACCTGCTGATCACTTAGTAACATCCTACACCTGAGAGCCCTCCTCTGGATGGGGCCAATAAGAGAAAAGAGCACACTGTACCCCATGATAGTATTAATGTACACAGCTATGATTTATTTTTTATTTTTTTTTTGAGACAGAGCCTCAAGCTGTCCCCCTGGGTAGAGTGCCATGGCTTCACTGCTCACAGCAACCTCCAACTCCTGGGCTCAAGCGAGTCTTCTGCCTCAGCCTCCCAAGTAGCTGGGACCACAGATGCCTGCCACAACGCCTGGCTATTTTTTGGTTGCAGCCTTTATTGTTGTTTGGCAGGCCCGGGCTGGATTCGAACCCACCACCTTAGGTGTATGTGGCTGGCACCTTAGTCGCTTGAGCCACAGGCGCCGAGCCCACAGCTATGATTTAATAATAATAATAATAATAAACCTGCATGAGGCAGGGAGTAAGGGAATGAGTCGGTCTGTCTCTGGAGACAAACTCTTTCAATTTGTAATAAAGAGCTGCTTATGCGAAGTTGTTCCTGCGGTCATTTTGTCATATTGGCCCCTGCTGGCGATTTTTCCACCCTAAAGAGCCAGAGAACCAGGAGGCTGGACTTGACACTTCCGTGGGTCTGGTCATTCTTTAGCCAAGAGCACACCAAGACCCGAAAGTAGACTGCCACCCTGACAAACCCAAAATGAGAAAGCAGGGAGCTGGATGTAGGCAGGAAATCAAACTGATCTTCTACAAAGGGCAGAGAGGAAGGCCTAGAACTGTCAACAAGGAATTTTATACAATGTGATAAGGACTGGAATAAATAACCTCTAATATCCTATCCCCAAAGAACAGATATCTATCCATTTATAAATTCCACCACACCAAGCTTGTTGGGGAATGAAGGCAGAATAAGGGAAAGCAGTGGTAAGATACAAAGAAAAATGGTTTTCTAATTTTATTCTTCTAACTACTTCATCCCTTTCTGAAGCTGTTATATGATCCTTTTAAAAGCAGGCTTCCAGACCTCCATAAATGATAGAAACTAAATTACTGATCTATGGCCTGTTCTGCATAAACTTCCATAAAGCGTTTAAGTGCCTCTCCAGGTGTGATGACCAAGCTTTTACTATTTAAGCCTTTTAATGATCACAATTGTGTAGTCTACATATATACACACTTACAGCACATAAAACAAAGAAATGAATTAACATGTAAAACTTAAAAATATGTCCTATTATGTGGCCATACTTGAATTTGAATATAATTTTCAGATTATAACTTGGAAATTATAATTGGCAGTTTCAGAATAAGGAGCAAATTTGCAGTTAAATGATTGCAGAAGAAAACATTACTTATATCCAGCAATGACGTTCACTTTCTCCTTAACAAATACCTTCACATCAGAAACCACCAAGTTTGTTACAGGCCCATGGTCCCTTTTTCTGAATCCCTTGAAGACAGATTTTTAAAGCCAGAATTGTTCAGCTCCTCTGAGCTCCCTGTTTTTGGTCTCCCCCTTTGGGTCTCTACCGTACTGAACGCTTTCCTCCGGTATTTGTTGATGCTTGTCTGTCCATATTTGAATGTGAAGCATGAGGAAGCTGATGAAAGCTTAGTTCACCACGGCTGTCCTAGATCCATCTACTTGGAGGATTTTATTACTGACTGAATTGACTTTTTCTTTAGGTGCCCAAATATCCAGTGCTATGTGACTTTTCTCCTGGGAGAGATCCCTCTAACCGCCTGTTGGCAGGAGGGTATTCTGGATACAGGTTGGAGAAGAAGCCCACGGGTGTCATCATGGTTCAGCCTGACTGGGGAGTTGGAGGGTGGCCTAATAGCTCTTTACACAAAACTTTCAACCAATTATGTTTGCACATTCTTTTGTGAGATAAAATACACATAATGCAAAATTTACCATTTTACTCATTTTTAAGTGTATATTGGCAATGTCGTGCAACCATCACTACTATCCATTTCCAGAACTTTTCATCAGCTGAAACAGAAACTCTGTACCCATTAAATAACTACACCCCCTTCCTACTTCCCTCCAGCTCCTGGTAACTTCTATTATATTTCATGTCTCTATAAATGTTACCTGTTTCAGGTGCCTCATGTAAGTGGAATCATACCATCCTTTTGTGTTGTTTTAACCTTTTTATTTTTCAAATGCATCAAATTAAGTAAACTGTCCAGGGTCAACAGCTCTAAGTGGCAACACAGCAGCAGAAACTTAAGCACGTTTGTCTAAGAGTATATTCTGAGCCACTATGGGTTGCTACCTCAGTAGTAAGCTTTCCCCACCCGTGTTCATATTATATCCTATATAGCAAATGTTTTACCCTTGACATTAGACACGTATATAGAATTTTTTTTTTTTTGAGATAGAGTCTCACTTTTATTGCCTTTGGCAGAGTGCCATGGCATCACAGCTCACAGCAATTTTCAACCAGAATATTTTTTCAATTAAAAATTCTTTGAAACATATTAATGCTTCCCAATAATCTATCATTTTCAATATATCATGCTTTAGTTTGTTGTTTTGAATTTGAAATAATATATATCTTTGTACACAAATCCCTGCATTTCTGATTAGAATAAAATAAAATGTAATTTCTGGTTCAAAGAATAGAACCTATTTAACATTTGATACTTATTGTTAAATGACCCTTCCAAAATGAGCCAATTTACAATACAAGTACTCTCATGGCATTTTCATCAACACTGAAGTATGTTATTTTTCCAAAATAGGTAAAAAATATGGTATCAGTTGTAGGAGATATAATGATAAAAATATTTTATTTACGATTTTATTTTCTCTCTGTTCTGTTTGTATCACTGGTTCATTCTCTAATAAGTCTGTGTTTCAGGTATTCATATAAACTCTTATCCATTCTGTGGCACATCCTCTTTCCCCTTTTTTTCTTCGCTTTCAAATTTTTGTGATATCTGACAAATTAGTGGGTAAACAGAAAGTAGAGTTTTGTTTTGCATTCAGTGATTCTTGCTGGTTTGTGGGGATCTAGAAGATTCCTTGCTGGTGGATGGTTAACACTGGTGTTGTCTTTATAGTTTTCAAAGTGGAAATACTTTTTATTGCTTTTGGTAATTAAAAAAATAATAAATGAATGTTCTTTTATTTTACAAAGCATTTGAACAGTATAAAATATACAAAGTAAAAAATTAAAGGCTTCATAATCCCATTTCATATAAACACTTGCAGACAGTATAGGAAGATTTAGTCATACATGCAAAGAAATGTAATAAACATATGGAAAAAATCAGACATAACGCTTAAGAAAAATGTAATCACAACGCATTCCTTGGCTCAGAAATTTAAAGTATTAACATGGTAATAAGAAATAAGTATATAAATTTAACCCCAAATTTTAATATAGTCATACTGGGAAGATGGAAGGTTAGGGGAGTATGAGGTTGAAAAATCCCCCTTTATCCCTTTGTGAATAAAGTCTGTGGGTCCCCCATCCCTGGGCTGTAGACCACAGCAAGAGGTGAGCGGTGGGTGAACAAGGAAGCTTCATCTGTATTTATAGCTGCTCCCTATCACTCGCATCACTGCCTGAACTCCGCCTAGGAGATCAGCAATATTAGGTCCTCATAGCAGCATGAACGCTACTGTAAACTGTGCATGCACAAGGGATCTAGGTTGTGTGCTCCTTACGAGAATCTAATGCTTGATGGTCTGAGGAGGTGAGGCAGTGATTTAGTATTGGGACCATCTAGTTGCAGGAAAACAAGCTCAAGGCTCCCACTGATTCTGTGGGATGAGTTGTATATTTGTTTCGTTATATATTACAATGTAGTAATAACAGAAAAATAAAGTGCACAGTAAATGGAATGCACTTGAATCATCCCCAAACCATTGCCCCCTACCTGCAGACTCCATCTGTGGAAAAACTGTCTTCCATGAATCCAGTCACTGGTGTTGAATTAAGTGACAGAAATACATTTAAGTATATGTTTATTTAGCAATATTTGGACATATGAAAAGAAACAGCTAAAGCAGTTATAAGTGGTTGCTTCTAGGGAATGGGATTTCGTACTGTAGGCAAAGCAGACAAATAACTGCTGTGTTTGATTACAAGCCTTTTAGAGCTACTGTACTTTTTATTTTATGGATATTTACAACTTATCCAGATTGAGATAAAAGCTACAAGAAATAAGATGACACTATATTTAAATACAAAATTCTCTTGTTAATACTATTAACAATAAAGCATTCAACTTTTCAGTCTTTGTGACATTTTGTTTTAAAGATTAAATTTATTTCAGAAGTCCTCATGTAAACTAGTCAGACACAAATGAAGCTTTTTCTAATGGACTTCTCAACTCCTTTTAATAACTATCTTTTTTCTTGGGATGACAATAGCATTACTATGATACTATTAAGTTTCCTTATTTTTATTAAAATTAGCTCTTTTCAAGGTTACTAGTAAACTTTGATTTTTATGAGTGTGCTAAAGCCAGATAGAAACATGATACTTTAAAATTGTTTCAATTTCTTATTAACTATTTTATAGTAGAAAACTATTTGGCATTAAGTATTCATATGCTGAAATTCTTAAAGTCATCTTTAGTCCCCAGTTGAACTTTGTGCTCCAAGACTTTTAAAAGTTTAATTATATTTACATAAAAAATAAAATTTTAATCACTAAGTTCTTCCTCATCACTGAAGTAGTTGCTTTTCTTTATCCTCGGGCGTCTTGAATCATCTGACGTTGAGGGGCCCCCGGAACTGGGTTTCCATTTTCTTTGTTCTTCTTCAATTTTGGCTTGCTGTAAATGTGATTCAGAAAACAAAGCAAAACAAAACCAGGAACTTGTTTATTATTATTTATGGTACATTAAGACATGGCAAAATCCCAGCACAAATGCCACCACTTCACACCTTCCCAGCCCATACAGACAGTTAAGATCCTTCCTGATCCTTAAATTCTGCCCCATGTCACAATGTTATTCAAAATTATCTTTGGCAATTTCTAAAGAAATCTTTTCCATTCGGCAAAACTCTCTTTCATCAAATAGTTCTCAATTCTATAATGAAAACAGATTAAGTGTTGTGGGGCTCTTAAAATCTAGGAAGAACTAATGGAAACTTGTTGTGCACACTACTCTAAGGACCTGAGAGAAACAGTCTGTCTCCTGCAGTGTTGGGGGGAGGGGGAAAGACTGAGGAGGTGCTTAGTAAAACAAACAAGGAAAATGAAACTCTGAACCCAGGGCAGCTATCACACGATGCCTTTTACAAGAACAATTCAGTACCTGAAATGCGATGGCCTGACTGAGGCTGTCCAGAGCAGGATCTTCCCCTTCATCTTCACTTTCTCCTACTTCTGCACTAAATTATTAAAACAAACCAAAACGGAATGTCATTGACTAAGAGCAAAAAGACGAAAACAACATAATAATGTATTTAGTGAGAGTACGTATACATACATTTCTTCCTCTGGTTCAGGAATTTTCTTTTTTTTCTTTTTTTCTTTCTTCTTTGGAGGTTCACGTTCTCCAAGCATATTTTTAGGACAGGCATAACTTAAATGTCCACTTTCCTTTTGTTTCCCATTGAAAGATAAGGGGAAAATATTTATTATAATTTACAGAAGTTTGGTAAATTGAAAAAAGAATATTCTAGTATTGGGGATATACAGAAGAAACTGAATGATAAAACCTGTTACTTTAATATTTATTAACAGGAAGAGACTGTAACGTAACTACAACTAAGCTACTTTAACAATTAGGAGGTTTTTGTATAATTTAGTTGTTCCACTAAAAGAGGTAGTCTTTACCTCGAACATTTTCAAGTCTTAAGATTCAAGATACAAACCAAACCAAAATGTAAATAGATCATCTACTCTAAACATAAACATTTTAAGTTATTTGATACATAGGGATAAAGCTATTTCTGTTAATTTCCAAGATGCTGTTTAACATTCTGTTTTAAAAACAAATAGAAAATTTTGTTGTCTTCCCTTTTCATATTAATTACTTTCATTTTCTCCTTTCATATCTAGACTATACTTGTATTATTCAATTCCAGTAGCCAGTAGGTGCATGTGCTACTGAGAACTTGTCTGAATTAATATGCACTGTAAAGGTAAAAGACACATTCACGAAGATAATGTGAAAAAAATGTAAAAAACCTTAATTTAAAAAATATTCACTAATATTCAAATGTTAGAATTTTAGGTATAAATCGAGTTAAGTAAAGGATATTAACTTTTATTTGTTTTTTAAGGTGACTAGTAGAAAATTTTAAATTACAGAGGTGGCTTGCTTTATATTCTTATTTGACAATGCTGTAGTAGCCTGTAATTCATGAGGTAGAATATCAAGTTGTAAAACATAAGAAATCAAAGTTATAACTTGTACACTGGCTTACTACATCTTTTTTTCCTTTTTGGAGACAGGGTTTTGCTCTGTCACCTGGGGCTAGAATGCAGTGGTGTGATCACAGCTCACTGCAACCTTAGACTCTTGGGCTCAAGCAATCCTCCCACTTAAGTGTCCCAAGAAGCTGGGACAAATGGCCTTGAACTCTCAGCCTCAAGTATTTGATCCTCCCACCTCTACTTCCCAAGTGCTCGGATTAAGGTGTGAGCCTCTGTGTCTGATAAAAGGTTTTATGTTATAGTGGGGTATGGCTACTTAGCCAAGAATTAAACAATAGGAGAAAAATCATCATGCTTTTCAAGTGTTATTTAACTGAGCACCAATTGACCAAATTGTATACCTAGGACATGGCTGAACCTAAAAGATATTATTTACTGTTAATGAACTGCTCAGAATATATAGTTAGGGAAGTATTTCCTAAACTCTGTTTTAGAATAATGGTATTCAAAAAATATTAATGTATCCCATATAAAAGGAGAATTTATAGGGAAATAACTGTGGGAAAAACCAGGCTAACTAAATGTAAACAGACTTTTTGGGAGGTAAAAATTAAAGAAATATAGAAATGTACACAATATAACAAATCTATGGATCTGTAAACCAAAAGAAACAGATTAACAAACTCATCCAAAACTTCTCAGATAATTTAATATTTACTGTGAGTATCAGGATACATACTAATAACATGGAGTTATTTAACCATAACTCCACCCCCACTTCTTTCTTTCTTTTGAAAACTCAGGGCTTTGGAACACAGTTTCTAAAACATTTACTTAAGAAGTTTGGGGGGGGGATGGGTGGTGGGTGATTGGTGGGACCACACCTATGGTGCATCTTACAAGGGTACATGTTAATCTTTCTAAATGCAGACTATAAATGTCTTAACACAGTAACTAAGAAAATGCCATGAAGGCTATGTTTAACCAGTTTGGTGAAAGTATTTCAAATTGTATATAAAGCGAGCACACTGTACCCCATGACTGCATTAATGTACACAGCTATGATTTAATTGGAAAAAAAAAAGTTTTCGAATTACAAGAATTGACAGAACAGTAAGTATCTTGTTTGCTGACTTTCTATTTCCCTGTTTACCTATTTGTTTTATTGGGAGTGAGTAGGGAGTAGCATGTCCCTGTATCTCCCATGGGATTTTGTAGCAGGACAATGTCTTTCATTAATTCTCTTCCCATCTTCCCATTAACCCCCCTGTACTGTGTTTCTTAAGTATTTTATGTTGTCACTTTAGAAAATGAAAGCTGTGAGACCCAGACTGAAATTCTCTTGGTACCCTTATGGGCCATGAACAAAACTGTTCTAAGATTGTGTATCTCTCCTAATCAACAAAACTTTAGATGGATAATGACAGATCATGGGGAGAATTAGGTCCGAAAATGTAAGGATAGTGTAATAATAAAACATTAGCAGTACTAACAGGAAGAAAAACTAAGGAATGCTGAAACACAATATCCTATAGAGGATAGGTCATATGATGATATTGGTACTGAACAGTGACACTTGTTGGCACAATGTTATAGAAACAGGTAATAGCCTAGTAATGAAAATTTTTGAGTTACTAAAATTTTTCAAGATCTTGGGTATTAGTAATCAGTCTAACACTTTTTATACTAATCATTTCCAAAGATTTAGGAACTAGAGAAAATACCATTCTCAGGTTATCTTTACATATGACATTTCAATTGAGTTTACCAAGATCAATCTGGAGTTCCTGAATAAAACAACTCCCATAACCTGGCTTTAGCCAGTCATAAGTTTTGGTGACACAAATAAAAGACTGATGTGAAAATGCCTTAAAGTAGACTATGGAAAGTTCCATTCAGTTTTAGGTTTACTTACCCCACATTCATAACACTTAGATTTATCAAAGTAGTTTCGCCTTCGGATGAACTCAGCGGCTCTTCCATTGTCAATAGCAATGCTTGCTTTTATCATTCGACCAAATAACTAAACCAGAGAAAAATGTAAATACAGAAGGATGTATTTCACCAAAACCTAAAACTACTCCTTCGATCACATTTCCTCAAATCTTCAATTCCATTTTATTTTTGGAGTATTTTAGCAACTGCTGCTTAGATACAATAAATTCTGTTCTGTAGTATTCTTACTGTTTGGAGTCTTCTAATATGTTAGGAACCCACTACAGCCTTGGCCTCTTTTCTGTAAGTCAGACATCCTTAGAATCTACTGCATCCTCACAGTTTGGGCCTGAATGAGCACAAAGGCTTTTGGGGTTTAAAAACTTGGATGGGAATGAATGGCTTACCTGTTTGTTGTTTATTGCCCTCGTACAGTTTTGTGCAGAGTCTTTATCCAAAAATAAAATAAATGCAACTCCTTTACTCTTCCTCGTATCTTTATCTTTCATTATAGTAACCCTTAAATCATAAACAAATAGTTAAAATAGAGGTAGCAATAAATAAGATATTAACACTTAGAAAACACAAGGTTTTTAGAAAGGGCTAAAAAATTTACAAAATAAGATAAATTGATACATTTGAAAAATCAGCTATCTCTTCACAGTCACGGGATATCAAGAATGAGGATGAAGGGTGGCACCTGTGGCTCAGTGAGTAGGGCGCCAGCCCCATATACCGAGGGTGGCGGGTTCAAACCCGGCCCTGGTCAAACTGTAACAAAAAAATAGCCGGGCACTGTGGCTGGCACCTGTAGTCCCAGCCACTAGGGAGGCTGAGGCAAGAGAATCGTCTAAGCCTAGGAGTTGGAGGTTGCTGTGAGCTGTGTGCGCCACAGCACTCTACTGAGGCCAATAGAGTAAGACTCTGTCTCTACAAAAAAATGAATGATGAAAAAGTGGAATATTGATTTAACACATGGTAGCACAGCTATGATTTGAGTTAATCAGAGATTGAAAGAGGTGAAGAGATTACAGAGACAATGGAATCTTGAAGCGTTATTCTTCCAAACTCACTCTCATCCTGCTAACAAAACCGAGTTCTTTTCTACACAAAGAGCAAAATGAATTACTTTATTTTTCCAAGTTTTAGAATCTAACTGTATTCTTAATATTCTCTTAAAGAATACGAAGTTTAGTGGTTCTTAGCCATACCACCCCAGGGGTAACAGAGTGCAAATGATAAAGCACCTAGGGGAAATGCTAATGAGAGATGAATCTAGATAAAGCTTTCATATTTAAAAAAAAAAGATTTCATTTTTTTTTACTGTTTCTGCAATTTTTTATAAATTCAAAATTATTTCCAAATAGTTTAAAAAAAGTTCAACATAAAGCTTAAACAATTTCTAAAATTTGAATTATAGGAGGATAGATAAGAGGACACAAGTGAATTAATAATCAGTAATTTTATTCAGTGTTAACATTTTGCATATTAAAATTAGTTTATTTAGGTTTAGGTTAAGGCACACATATAGTCACTGGAATAAAATAAAAAGATGCTACCATATTAAGAAAAGGCATGTCTAATTTCATTTTATAAAAAAGAACTTTAGGGGAAAATGGGCAACTAAAATGGTTTAGTTTCTCAAGAGTGCATCTGTTTATTGAATGGGCTGAGAAGGAAAGAAGAAAACGCGAGTGGTTGATGAAGGCCCAAGTTTGGACTGGTTATCTTCAAAGCCCACCACGGTTACTGAGGATATGTCAGAAACTTTTAAAACCAATTCGGACTGAAATATTTTGCTTTAGTTTTTGGATTTTTTTTCATGTTTATGAAGGTCATAAATCATTTCTTAAAAAGTACTATTTCAGTAAAAGTGCTAGTGTTCTATTCCATCTTCAGTTAATCTCTCTCTCACATGTCCCCCCTTCTCCATTCCCTTTGCTTTTTTTCTGGTTCATGCTAGCATTACTCTTTTAACAGTCTGTTCTTACTGTGCCTTGATATTAATTCTCATAAGGTAGTTAAAGACTCTTAAAATCACACCATTCCTTTGCTCAGAAACATTTGGTTAAGTTCTGGCAGTTAATTTCCTTTTTGATTTGGCTCCTACCTCCCTCATCTTTCACTACTATTTCTAGTCATAAATTATGAGGTCTCGCTAAAATAAACCACTCGTCCCCACATTGGCACCTCTGTTCACACAGCTTCTGTTTTCTTTCACTCTCACACACTGTCCATTAAAATTTTCCTCATTCTTCAGGGCTTAGATCATGTGCCAGTTTCTAGTCTCTTCAGATGGAAATAATTTCTCCTCTTTCCCCTAGTCTCTATTGAATTGTTTATATAGAAACCATATTTCATCTCACTTATTGTAATATAAACTCCTGTAAGGCTGTCTCTGTAACCTGTACATGCTTAGCTTAGTAGAAAAATAGATATAAATGGGGAAAGTAGTTTCTCAAAAGACTGCATTTATGTGTTCATTCACTTGGTTATTCAGCTACTCCATGAGCCTAAAGCCTAGGCATTAAGCACTGGGAGTAGTTTCTGCCCTAAGCCTACAGTCTAGTGGTGCAGACAGATCTGTTAAGCCAATTATAACATAATACTTTGATAGAGATAACGTCTATGGTAACAGAAAAAAAAATTGCACCAAGGAGTACAAAAGGACAAATCTACTACAACTCCCAAGTTTCTGGCACAGGAAAAGAGGTACAGTAGGACCATTTCTTGAGATAAGTAAGGTATATGATATACTCATTTAAGCGCATATAGTATGAAGCATACACAACCAATCTGGGAAACCTGGACGCCATCCACAAAGTAAGCATACTAATAAGGATTTTTTTTTTTTGAGATAGAGTCTCATTGTGTCGCCCTCAGTAGAGTGCCATGCTGTCGCAGCTCACAGCAACCTCCAACTCTTGGGCTAAGTGATTCTCTTGCCTCAGCTTCCCAAGTGGCTGGGGCTAGCTATTTTTTTTGTTACAGCTGTCACTGTTGTTTAGCTGGCCTGGGCTGAGTTTGAACCTGCTGGCCTCGGTGTATGTGGCTGGCACCATAACCACTGTGCTATGAGCACTGAGCCCATACCACTAAGTATTACCCAATAGGTTCATCTTGAACTCCTGAGCTCAATCTTCCCACCTCAGCCTCCCAGAATACTAGAATTATAGGTGTGAAACATCATGCCCAGAAATAGTGATTCCCCAACCAGTGACAGTGATTTTTAAAAGCAAAGTAAGCTTATGAGAATGTCTGTTTGTGTATGGCTTTAGGAACAAGGAATTAACCCAGAAGCTTTTTTGTCGGTTATTAAGGAGCTTCACAAGGCTACCGAAACACTAAAGGCTGCTGAAAATATAACAAGCTGACTTTCTGGAGAAACTCTGATGAGACATGTCAGGTCTGCAAGAGGATTTGAAGACTGTTTTGTAGTCAAGAATGTACAATTAAATTACTGCATGCATCAGTGTAGAAAAACTTCCCTTTGTAAAAGAATTATAAAACCATAGCTTTATAAATCAGTGGAAAGTGGCTCTGAGAGAACTGTCAGATCTATGTCACATCTTACTTTTCTTTAACAGTTCTAATGCTTTGGCATTGCTACGTTCATATTTAGGGATTCCGTATTTATAGCTCTGATAGCTTTCATTTTCTAAGCAGTCTATCAGTGTGCACATCTGCTGTGCCTGGCTGAAGGATAGTGGAACCCATCGGTAGTGATGTGTAGTAGTTATGACTTGTTGACGTTTCCATTATAAACTTTAATTCTGAATTGTTTATGCATTAAAACTGAATTTATGTTGTATTAGGCTGGAAGTTGACAGGATTTCAGCTACCATTTGTGAATTTTGTTTAGATTCATTATGTATATTAGAATCTTGTTTTTAAAAATAAGAGCATGAAAACATTTCTAGTCATTTCCTCTTTAACAAAGAAGATTACGTTTTTTAAACGATTTGTTGGGCAGTTAATAGTGTGAATCAGATCATTTTTGTACTGCTTAAAAAATAAAACTTCTAAAAACTTAGATTTTAAAGGAAATGATGGTGCTTAGTTTAGCGTTATTTATAGCTTGAATCATCTAAATCTAATGAAAATGTTTGTTGAGAATTTTTTTCAAGTTTTATACCCTATAAATGAAGGTCCAAAATATAAAGTATAAAATAAAATACAGCAAATATGTAAAATTCCTGTTTACTTTTATTACATAAATGTAATTTGATTGCTAACCTAACAAATCTCGAGTGATTAGTAAACCACTATTTAGGTGGTATGTTTCAAACAGTATTTAACATTTTCTGAAGAAATAGGAATTCCCAGGCATTAAATAAAAACTAATCTAATGTTCTGTATCAGGAATTATCAGTATAGCTTTTTGAAATAACTTCATGTCATTTTACCCTTAAAGCTTTTAGTCATGAAGGTGATTCAAAAAATACATTTTAGAAAATTTAAGATAATACTGATTCTGTTCCTATATCAGAATCTCAATGACATTTTTGGGGGGCAAGATTTATGGATTTAGTAAGATTTTACTGTTTTGTAAATTTTAGATTTTGTTAGACACATTTAAAGGATGGGTGGTACCAGCATTCAATTTTCAGTAGCACTTTTTGTTTTTTAGACAAGCTGAAGTAGTTTTAATAAGACTCAGTGATATTTAAATAGCACCTCCTTTGCTATTTTTAAATAAATCTAGGCTTTTGACCATTTTGACTTTTTAAATGTGTGACATTTTACCAAGTGCACTGCAGGGTCTATTATTGGCAGAACAGATTGGGAGATAGTAAGAACTTATGATAAGTCAGTTGACAATAAACACTGCAAATACAGCATGTTTTATTTATAAAATCATAAAGGGAACACTTGTTAACTTCCAAAATTTGTATATACTTTTAGGCCATAGAGTTGATAGTTTTATTTATGACTTTGTAGATTAAGTTATTTATGTATGAAACAAAGCAGGAAAATATATTGAGAAGGGGTAATGTTTACAGAGGACTTCTTTAATGTGTTATAGTTCTTAAATGTAAAAATATATTTTTAATGCATACTTGGGTAATATTTAAGAAACCACACAAAATAATGATACAATTGCAGTGTTATACTTGTCAATGACAATAATAAAACTGTTTTGGTGGAAATAAATAAATATATATATCTTGCTTTTACTTCCTTGCCCTAAAATACAGTTGATTTTAAAATACTGAATTAAATATGAAAACCTTAAGTTCTTTTTATCTTTTCTTAACTCTTAGCCCAATTATTTTCATCACCCACTATCATTTTTGTGTGTTTCCAGTTTTCTAATGATATCTAAGCTTTCTGTGAAGGCAGAAAATATGTTTTCTATTTCTCAGTCTCCTAAATGCTTTGCAAGTTATATGCATTAAAAGACTGCATTTGTCTTACACTGTATTTGATAAATGGCAATCTGTTTATAGTGTACTTGATAACACATCTAGCAATCAAAATATTTGTTTAATCAGATCCTGTATTTCTTATATTGGATAACAGAATTAGTTTTAGTTCTTAGCACTACAGTAAGAAATTATAAAGACTATTTATACAAATTATGATGTGTATGTAAAACTATAAGATAGGAAGACATATCTTCTTTACAGCACATGAAAAGACATTTATGATATAACGTCAAGTGGCTCAAGAAGTAGGGCACCAGCCCCATATACCAGAGGTGGCAGGTTCAAACCCAGCTCCAGACAAAAACTGCAAAAAAAAAGGAAGGCCGGATGTAGTGGCTCATGCCTTAATCCTAGCACTCTAGGAGGCTGAGGTGTGTGGACTACCCTAAGCTCACAGGTTTGAGACCAGTTGAGCAAGAATGAGATCCTGCCTCTAAAAATAGCTGGGCTTTGTAGTGGGTGCCAGTAGTCCCAGCTACTTGGGAAGCTGAGGCAAGAGAATTGCTTGAGCCCAAGAGATGGAGGTTGCTGTGAGCTATCATGCCACAGCACTCTACTGAGGGTGACAAAGGAAGACTTTGTCTCAAAAAAAAAATGGAGAAACGAATTCAGATACAGTTTTAAAATTTAATGTGAATACTTACTTTACAACTTTGCCGTACTTGGAAAATATCTGAAACAAAAGAACACATATTAATTTGTAACATGAGGCTAATAAAAAATGTGACATTTTCAGGATGTATATGCGGTCCGAATTATTTGTTATAGTGTATGAAAATTTTAGCCTTCAGTCTATAAAGCAGGCCCTAGAAATATTTTTTTGTTGACTAGAAAAATATTGTTATTAGAGGCACATGTCCTGCCTCAGCCCCTATGTTTCTGGCAATACAGTGGACACAGAGAAAAACACTATGTGAGTGGTAGGTCCAGGCATACCTACTGTCTAGCTGTTATGTTCCTGAGGGACATCCTTGGCAAGTACCAGCTCTACTGTAACACCACCTAAGCCTACACTTCAAATATCAATGTTATAGAATATTACTATTCTTACTCAACCCCCACCACATTAATCACTGTTTAAGAAGACAGATACTTAGACTGCTTAAAAAAAAAACAACCCTAAACAGGCCTAGTATGGTGGCATATGCCTGTAGTCCTAGCTACTTGGGCAGCTGAAGGAGGAGTTTGAGGTTGTAGTAAGCTCCTGTACTACAACCTCAACTCGCTTGAGCCCAGAAGTTTGAGGTTGTAGTAAGCTATGATGATGTCATAGCAGTCTAGCCCAGGTGACAGAGAGAGGCCATGTCTCAAAAACAAGCAAAAGAAACATAAAAACAAAAAAGATTTTATAATGAAAAATCCATTTCCATCAATCTCCTCTTCTGCCCACCATTGATGTTGGTGGTGCTTTTTAGTTGGCCCTTTGTCTTCTACATCTTGATCCTGAGCAATCTTATCTATTTTCATAATTCCAGTCATTACCTATATACTAATAGTTCTTATTTATTATATAAAAATTCTTTTAGAATATGTTTATACCATATATGCAACCAATAATGAATTTTTTAGCTCTATGATTGTGGAATATCTGGACTGCAGTATTAACAACACTGGATTCTGAAAGCCAGTATTTTCTTTTTTTTTTAAGAGACCGAGTCTCACTTTGTTGCCCTTGGTAGAGTGCTGTGGCATCACAGCTCACAGCAACCTCTAGCTCTTGGGCTTAGCCCATTCTCTTGCCTCAGCCTCCCAAGTAGCTGAGACCACAGGCACCTGCCACAACGCCTGGCTATTTGTTATTGCAGTTTGGCTGGGGCCAGGTTTGAACCTGCCACCCTTGGTATACGGGGCCAGAGCCCTACTCACTGGGCCACAGGTGCCGCCCAAGCCAGTAGTTTTATATGTAACACTTTCTAATGGCGCCTCATTTCACAGAGGCATCCTGAGTGTGCTTATCTCTGACCACTCTTCCTCTTCTAATGAAGTGCTTGTCCCCCAGAAATCTGCACAGCTGCCTCTTGTTTGCTTCAGGTCTTTATTCAAGTCACTTTCTCATGAAGGGCATTTTTTACCACCATATATAAAATTTTATCCCATTCCCAGTTTATCATTCAACAACCCTTCTTTCCTGCTTTATTTTTTCTCCTTAGCAACTAACATCTTAGCATCTACTTGGTATCTTAACATATAATTTGATTTTTAATCTTTTGCATTGTTTGTCTCTTCTGGTATACTCTGAGTGCCAAAGGGATTTTTGTCTTTTTTTTCACTGACATGTCTCCAGTACCTGTAAGAATGCTCAACACATAATAAACATTCAGTAAACATGGTTAAGGAATACAAGGAAAGTAAAATACAGGGAAAGTAAAATAATTTTTCCCTATTCTTTGAAACTCAAGCCATCTTTTTATTTTCTTTCTTTGCTCTTCTTTTTTCTGAAACAGAGTCTCACTCTGTGGCCCCAGGCAAAAGTGCCATGGCATCAGCCTCAAACTCCTGGGTCTAAGTAATCCTCTTCATTAGCCTCCCAAATAGCTGGGACCATAGGCATTCATCACCATGTCTGGCTAATTTTTCTATTTTTGGTAGAGATAGGGGTCTCATTCTTGCTCAGGCTGGTCTAGAACTCCTGAGCTGAAGGGATCCTTTCACCTTGGCCTCCCAGAGTGCTTGGATTATAGCATAAGCTACTGCTTGGCCTGAAACTCAGGCTATGTTAATAAACCAAGGCTATGCATCACCTATGAAGCATCTCTCTAGTTAACATTTACCCAAAGTAGCAGAGAGAACAGAATACTAGAATAAAGGACTCATGTTATCCCTTCCAGATCCTCTCTCCCATTCATCTGGAGGACAGGTAAAACAGAAAATTTTGTTCTTTGTGAGGTAAAAAGGGAAAAGAATATATTGGAAGAGATATCTCCCCTACCTCAATCACCTATATCCTGAACTGAAAACAATATCGAAATTGTTATGCTTTTGCCACATATGTTAATTAAGATAAGCTTTCAGAATCTGAGGGTTAGGAAAGAGACTCACTCTCTTTGCTCCCAACAGTCCTTTCCTCCAGAACCTCCATTCCACTACCAGTTTCAAAAGCCAAGTATGCAAGCAGGAAAAATATTAGCCTATCACAAGTTGCTCCCAATTAATTATGCTAGTTATGTTTTTTGTGTTTATAAACAACTTATTATTCTCTATAAGGAAACTGTAAATTCTCTTTGGAAATTACAACTTTCTAAATTTTTTCACTTACATTTGCAACAGAGGTCTTTAGTATCGATGGTTTAAGGGCATTATAACATACTTACTAAGAATTTTGCAGGGAAGCTGGGCGTGGTGAATTGCTTGAGCTCAGGAGTTTGAAACCATCGTCAGCAAGAGCGAGACCCCTCTCTACTAAAAACAGAAATACACTAGCCAGGTGGTACAAGAGTGTGAGGTTGCTATGAACTATGATAACACGGCACTCTACCCCAGTGTGACAGAGTAAGACAGAGTAAGACAAAAACAAAAAACAAACAAAAAAACCAACTAAGCACTTCGCCAGGGAGAACTGTTTAAGTTACATCTGTATCTCCAATAGAAAATTCAGTAAATAGATGTAGTGATACTAAAATTTACTTACCCTGTATAAGTCATTGTTTGTCAGGGAAAAGGGCAAGTTGGATACATATACTGTGCTCTTACTTGGAGCCAATCCACCACTCATTTCTAAAAAGGAAAACAAACCCGTAAGGAATCTAAACCAGGTAATCTTCAGGGCAGATAAAATCAACACAGTATTGACAATTACTGATTCAGTTATGCCAGATTTATACCACCTTCTTTACATTTTAGGAAGTTAGGAACAATGACTCCAGCTGGGTGAACTTAAGAAATTCCTTTTCTCTAGTCACACTTAAAATTTTTTGGTCCTCTTTCTTACAAGAAAATTCTTACACTAACTCTTTCAGGGCTGGACTGTGTGTATAGAGAGGAGGATTTTAAACAGAAGGAGGATGGAAAATCCTGAAGCTACTTTTTTTTTTTTTTTTTTTTGAGATAGAGTCTTTCTTTCTTGGCTTTGGCAGAGTGCCATGGACTGTCACAGCTCATAGCAACCTCAAACTCTTAGGCTCAAGTTCTCCTCTTGCCTTAGCCTCCCAAGTAGTGGGGAATGTAGGTGCCCGCCACAACAACTTGCTGCTTTTTAAGAGACAAGAGTTTTGTTCTAGCTCAGCCTGGTCTCTAACTTCTGAACTCAAGCAATCCACCACCCTCCAAGTGTGCTGGATAACAGGTATGAGCCACCACAAACAGCTTGAGGCTACTCTTAAACCTCCCCTCAGCCTAAGGACTCAAACAGTGCTTTCAGATATGTACACTATCTTGCTCACCTAAGAGCGAGACTGGGGGCTTACAAAGAATCTTAGCCACTGATTTTTTTGCTAATATGCACTCATGCATTGCTTAACGAAAATGTGTTCTGAGCAATTCGTCATTAAGTGATCTTGACGTGTGTGAACATCACAGTGTACTTACACAACCTAGATGGTGTGGGGCTGCTAGGCTACAACCCTATAGCATGTTAACGTGCTGAATACTGTAGGCAATTGTAACACAGTGGTCAGTATCTATGTATCTAAACATAGAAAGGTACAGTAAAAATACAGTGCCGAGTATTATAATTTTATCACCAGGGTATATGTGGGTCCTCATTGACCCAAACATGAGTATACTATGACTGGGTACCTTTTTTGGTTGGTCGTCTTACTATGCATCTCCAGAGTGGTGTTAAGTCTAAATTTTAGCCTCACAAGAACAATGTAAAGCTTTTTCAAATTCGCTAATTTTGCATAATGCTGCCAATTATGACGCCATACATTATATAAATAAGTTAGGTACATTGAAGGGATAGTGACTTGCATATATGTTTTTAAGTTTAAATATATCAGTAGGCCGGGTGGGGTCGCTCACGCCTATAATCCTCGCATTCTGAGAAACCAAGGAATACTGCTTGACCTTAGGAGTTCCAGATCAGCCTGAGTAAGAGCAAGATTCTATCTCTACTAAAAAAGTAGAAAAATTAGCTGGGCGTCATAGAGGGGGCCTGTAGTCCCAGCTACGTGGGAGGCTGAGGAAGGAGGAACACTTGAACCCAGGAGTTTGAGGTTTTATATCTTATTTTACAAAATCAACTAATTATCCGTGAAAACGATATCAAGCTCAAACAGGTTCAAATTTCCAATTTAAAAATCACGTGCGGAGATGGGGATATGAACTATTACACATGGGAAGACACTGATTCTAAGACATGCCAATTTGTGAAGTAATGAGAAAATTGCTTGATGCTTAGTGTTCTGGGAGAATAATTTAGAATACTTCAGGAACTCAACTTTGATAGCTTTTTAGGAGTTTCTCATTTGAAACTCTCTAAGTAAAGTCAGTGCTAGGGCAAGCAAAGGTCAAAGTCCTGGAATAAAAAGGATGGCAGGAGATAGGGGCAAATCATTTGGCTGACAGGTCTGGGAAGGGAGCTCGCAGGGAAAAGGCCACAGCTCTATCCAGCGTTTACCTTCAAGTGGGGGTAGGTCCAGGAAATTAGAGGAGTGCGGGCCCTCAACTCGGCTTGGGGTTCAACCCCGACTCTCCTCCGTCCCTCGCAGCGGCGTTGGCATCACGGTTCTGGGAGGGGGCCGGCGTGGAAATGAGATCGCAGCCCCAGAGGCGCCTTTTCCCGGCTAACCTGGGCCCCCGGGACGCGCGCTTTGCTTACGTCATCTCGCGCGCCGGAAGTGCCTGCCTGGGCTAGCGGCGGCGAGCGACCAACTACGTTTACGAGTCTCTCGGCGGCCTGGAGTCGGTGAGTTCTTTTTACCTTAACAAGAGGCGTATGGGACTGGCTTGCGGGCTGCCACACTTGTGGGATCGGCGGGAGTTTTCTGTGGCGGGTTCTGGAAACTCTTGCCGTCTTTGAGTCGTGCAACAATCATGCCCACGCGGCTGAGGGTAGAGAGACGCTGTGGAGTTCGGAATAAAGGGTAGTGTTGAGTCTAAGATACGAGCTTGCGTTTCTTTAGCGCCTTAATATGCAAGAAGAAGACTAAGTTAGGTAACTTTAGTGACCCGAAATAAGTCAGGAAGTCGGTAATTTACTGAATGAGTTCGACGCACCCAGGTCGGTATTAGGCATTTTAGGAGCTACAAAAAAAAAAAAAAAAGCGCAAAACCGGCCTATTTTTTGTGGAGATCTCAGTCTAGTTGGGGAGAGTTGGATTCACAGAATGACTTATCTTGAGTATTGGTGTGGACAAAAGTTTAACTTCTTGGCACCTTTTTTTTTTCCTGTAAGTCTAAGTGGGCACGCGCAGCTTTTTCTTTAAGCGGCCGTAACAGGGCCATCATTCCTACAGAAAACCCAGGAAATAATGCATGGTAGTTTATACTTAACTTCTACCCACCAGCACATACAGACCAGGCCTCTAACCACTCCTTGGGAGCCTGCGTGCCAGCAGCCAGAAACCCTGATCCTCTCGCGGAGCCTGCACAATCAATCCAGACTGAAGCCGATGTCTTCTAAAGAGACGCAAGTGCAATCCAGCCAGGGCGCAGCTGAATTTTGAGAGGCCTGAATGCCTCCACGTCCACCAGGGGACTGCTGGGACTAATTTTCTTGGCAGACTTGTGGTCATCCAAACCTACTATGCTTCACATTCCTGTTATCCTTGGTTACCGCCCAGGATGTAAGCCCCCTTTGGTCTTCTCTGCTATACCCTCATCCCCACGCTCCTTTGTGCTTCTTTCCCCTTGACGTAGGCTATCTCCATTCCTTTTCTTCCCATCGCCTCAAAACCCCACCTGTGCTCTCTGAAACAGCTATTCCTTGCTTACCAAATTCTTTCACGTATTTATCCTCTTTACTCAAATTCTCTTTTATCTCCCTACCATAACCAACACATGAGTTTTCCTGCCAACTGTTTCAGTTGAGCCCCTTCTCTGACACCTGTCTTTTAGGTTGAATTGACTTCATTTCCTCAAGATGCTTTTTTCTCCCCTCAAGTATCTTTGCAAAGGCTCTTTTTTCCTCTGAGACGTTTGATCTCCCTGTCTCCTCTTACTTCTTCCTGGATAACTCCTACTCCTGCTGAAGATCTACTTAGCTGTCACTTTATCTGAGGGGTATTCCCTAACTTCCATAGGTAGAGTTCTAACTCATCCTTGCCAGGTGCTTTTAAGTGCCCTATACTTCCCTCATTGCATTCATCTTAAGTTTCCTAACTAATTGCTTGGCTCTTTTCCTTCCCTACTAAGCTAGGCTGTGGGAGGAGGAGGGATCCAGTTTTTCATGTTTATCTTCTTAACTCCAGTGTCTAATACAGTTCCTGTCATATAACGGGCCATCAGGTATTTCTTGAATAATTGCAGGTGCTGAAGGTATGGTCTTGGAGGTCAGGCAGTTAACCAGGAATATTTACGAACCTGTGGAAGGGCTCAGCTGCCACTCAGCTACAGCTGATTGTGGCTGCGTCATTATATCCCAGTGCTGCCAGAACATGTAATTTTTTTTCGAGAAAAGTTGGGAATACAGTCTTTAATGAGTTTTCCCTCAACAAGAATCCAAATGGTTTCTTTGGAAGCATTCTTGAATGTTGTCAGTGGGATGAAATTTTGTTTTAAAAAGACATAGGTCAAATATGACCTATCAGTCAACAGTTTGAAATCTGTTTTAAGTGTTATAGGGTTCAATATAGCGGGCTTTGTGAAGAATAAGAGCTTGTGTGCTGAGCCTTGTTGGATTCCTAGGTGAATAAGAGAATGGAAAGAAGTATTACAGCTTGGAAGATAAACAACTCCAGTGTAATGTATGTTGAGGAGACACATTGAGGAGGCCAGTGTGAATGGAGCTTTTGAAGAGAAAAAGAGCTTAGATGAGATGATAGGAGGAGGCATCTGGAGGACAGAGAAGTATGGATTGTTATGGTTAATAAGAAACCATTTGGAAACTTCACATTATGAATATATGCATTAAGTTGATGAGCATCCTGTTAGGGTGAAATCATACTTAAATTATTACACACAGGTAAACATAACAGTATTTTTGTCTACCTGTGTAATTTTTAGTTAATTGATCACTTGCAAAAGACAGTCAAGAATCTCCTAAGTATTTAATGCAGTAAAGTGGAGCTTATCAAAAGTATTAAAGCATTGAAAAGTAAAGTGACTTGTGAAACCAGAAGGTCATATAGGACTTTAAAAGTGCTGAGTTTTATAGTTTGTCATGGAAACAATGAGTGTGGTCTCCTCACAGCTATCCTTTATCTCCTCTAATTGTTGTTGCATACAGCTAGGGTCATCTTCTGGGGAGAGATTTTTTTATTTCCCCTCACCTTGTTTCCAGGCTATAATCCTGCAATGAAAAGCTTGTCTAACTTTTTCTTTTTTTTAAGATGTGATGATTTTATTAAGGCATCTTTTACATACATGTTTTGTAGAGCAAATATGTGAAAAAAAAGAAAAATTGGACATTTTTATTAGAGTAACATCCTAAGTTAATTTGGGCTGGGTAAGTATGGTATCATAGAAGTCAACCTCAGACTTGCATGACTTTAAAGCCCAACTCTTTATCATTATCACATTGCTTCATAGAGGACATAGGCAAGGACAGAACAGGTCCAAGGGCAAGTGTTTTGTTTTTGTGACATTTAATGCCCTTCAGTCTGTTCTGTCTGTCCTTGCCTGTGTCTTTTGTGAAGCAATGTGATAATGGTGGGAAAAAGCTTGTGCTTTTGAAGTCATGGGAGTCTGCTCTGACTTCTGGCTCCATTTGGCTCTAGGGTGTAAGCTTTTCGTGTTTTATCTGGAATGTGGGAGACAGTATCTCCTTCATTAGGATTGTGTGGGTGAAGAGTTTATATGTTTTGAAAGTGTATTACACAAGTTATTACATATGGGAAAGAAAGTGAACACTGTTGAACATTTGTCTTCTTTCTCATGTACTTTTTGTCTCCCCTACAGCCTTTGCCTTTTTTCCTTTTGATTCTACTATTCTACTATTCATTTTGTACATCTACATTAATCTAGTTTCTCAAGATTTTATTCACATTTTCTTAGCTGTCTTAAAGGCTTTCTTGACAAGCACTCCTTGCATTTATCTCTCCCTGAGCACTGAACAATGCCAAATCCTTTGCTCTGTTTTGAACATTTTTGTTGGCATCAATGTTAATTTTTAAATTTTTTTTTTTGATTTCTTTTTTATTGTTTGGGATTCATTGAGGGTACAAAGAATTAGGTTACACTGATTGCATTTGAATGTTAATTTTTTTTCAAAGACCTCAGCTCATTATCTTCTGAAATTCATTTTTAATGTGGTTGTTTGGGATTTGAAATATTTTCCACAGAAACATTACACTATTAATAAATTCATTATGAATACTGAGCACATGCATTGTACAAATTGTTCTAGTTACTTAATGTTAATCAATGAACAACAGAGATTCCTCACTTTCATACAGCTTTGAAGTCCCCTCCTCCTGGACTGGTAATGAGTCAGAGGACTGTTGGGAGGACTTTTGGGAGCCAGTGACTGAATGCCATCCCTAAGCCCTCAGTGCCCATCTGTGGAAAAATTTTCTTCTGTGGAGAAGTTCTCTTCCTTGACAACTTCAGAACTGGGCTACACAGCAGGAGGTGTGTGGTGGGCAGTGGAGTGCAGCAGCTTCATCTGTATTACAGCTGCTCTCAACTGTTCACAACATTGCCTGAGCTTTGTGTGCGTGTGTGCACGCACACACCCCCTAGGTCACTGTTCCTGGAAAAATTGTCTTCCATGAAACCTGTCCCCGATGCCAAACAGGTTGGGGTTGCTGATACAATTGATATTTCTGGTAGTGAGGGACCAATAATTTGTATTTAGTATAAAATTATATAGTATCTTAAATGACTGGCGCAATGAAATAATAGCAATATTAAGGCGATCTGGTAATAGGGTGACGTTAAGAAGGTGACATTGAAGGATGAGGAAGTTAGGCAGATGCCTAGAGAAGAATGTTTCAAGCAGGAATTGCAAATGCAGAGGCCTATCTTGTGTCTGAATCTGTGGTTATTATTATCAGTAGTTGTTGGATGAATTTAAAATGTGAAAGGAATGGGTTTGGGGAAGAGGGAAAGGTATTTATCCTGAGTGTATTTAATAACTGAAGCTGACTACATCAGAATGCAGAGTTGCTCTATACTCTAAGCTATATTCTGGGTAAAGAAAGAAAACAGATTCATTTCTTTGAGTTTGTATTCAAAGTGTGAGTTGTATTGACAGAAGGATTTGCCTACGACTTTATTTTCTCAATTTCCTTAGAATTCAAGTCCTCTGTATCCTCCTCTTAGACATGAGTTGAAGTTAACATAATGGAAGCTCAAAGGAGTGCTTTAAGAAAGACTTTTTTTTTTTTTTGAGATAGAGTCTCACTTTCTTCCCCTGGTTGAGTGCCATGGTCACAGCAACCTCAAACTCCTGGGCTCAGTCCTCTTGCCTCAGCTTCCCAAGTAGCTAGGATTACAGGCACCAGCCACAATGCCTGGCTATTTTTAGGGGTGGAATCTTGCTCTTGCTCAGGCTGGTCTCCAACCCCTGAGCTCAAGCAATCCACCTGCTTCAGCCTTACAAAGTGCTAGGATTACAGGCGTAAGCCACTGTGCAGGGCCAACCCTTTGTTTTTTTTAATTAAATATGTGGTAACCCGTTGTGGTATATTAAACCCATCCATTTTATTGAATGTGAGATTTAAGAGACCGAGATTTTTATAATCTGGAACCAGTTGTTAGCATACTTCTAAATGAAGTTTGCGTTTTCCACACTGGATGAATTCTAATTCTGTTCTCTGCTTAATTATGGTGTGGAGAGGGTCCTTCTATTTTTCTCTTGTATTTTTTGGTTTACATATTCTGTTGACTTAGAAAATTTTTCTAGAATACTTAGAGACTCCACTGATGTGAGACTCCACTTAGAGATGACACACGTAAGTAGCATGATTAACTCAGTAAGAATCAGAACACTTTTGTATAAATGTAGGTGATTGGTTATGAGGTAGGTCAGTTTCTTGAATCTGGATGATGTCATAAACATAAGTCACCAATCAGAAAGTTGCCTGTGCTTACCACCTATTTTAAAATCCTTTGAAATTTACAAGGTGCTATTTGAAGTTAAGATGATATTAACATAGTCTCTTCCCTAATTGCCATGCAAGTACTTTGATCTTTATATCTTTCTTCTCCTCTAGTACCTGTTGCCTTTTCTATCATAATTTAAGTTCTAGCTTAAGGCCCATTTTTTGTACTCAGTCCTAAAACTGTATCTTCTATTTAGTTTTAAAAATAGTACAAGTCTGCGCATGCAGTCTTTTTAAATTTATATTCCTGCCTCCCCCAATTATGTTATATATTTCTTCAGGATGAAGATTCACAATTTGGTTTGGGACCTTACCAAGGCTGTTTGATTTTTGAATTGTTTTGTTACTAGTAGCTAATTATTTTGCTACACTGAGCCCTATTTAATTTTACCTATATTGTGTTCTAATACTTTTAAATTCTTTATTGTGAAAATGTGATTTAGGTAACAGAAAACATTTTCTGATACTGCTGTTGTGTCAAAGTGTAGGTAGGTATGGTAACAGTACTAAATACCTTCAGATTCTGTAAGGATATTAATCAGTATTTTAGTGTACTCATCAGTAAGATAGAGATAATTTTTTATGTTAACTAATTAATTACAGATTATTTTATAACCCAGCTTCTATATTTAAGCATTGTATTTTAGAAATGAGCAATTTGTTGTATTTGTAGAGGAAAATTTCATTTTCTATGCACAGTAATTGAACTTTTAAGTTAAAAATCTTTAAAACTGTCAACTTTTTTAAGGTAATGAGAATTCATTTACTTGATTTCACTAAACATTTTGACTGGAAACTGTAATTTCTGTAGCTTCCTATAAGGTAATGGTTCTAAACCTTCCTAATGCAGCGGCCCTTTAATACAGTTCCTGTGGGTCCCGACCCACAGGTTGAGAACTGCTGCTATAAGGCATCATCAGGTGTGGAGTCACATGTGCAGAGCTGTTTCAGGATTAAGTGTAGGGTTGAAGTTGTAGTCACAGTCGTACAGTGTCTGGCTGTTTAAGGGTGCTGCTTGTTTCTAGGAGAAATTAAGTTCAGTATACAGAGTGAGGCCTGCAGACGTGATTATTAGATTCAGCAAATTTGGTAAACTTTAATAGGTGATTGGGAATTTGATGCCAAATTGCTTTTTTTGTTTTTAAAAATAATTTATTGAGATAAAATATGTGAAATTTACCATTTTAACTATTTTTAAACCATCACCAGCATCTGAGTCCAGAACTTTCTACATCGTCCCAAACTGAAACTCCATATCCATTAAACAATAACTCCCTCTTAGATAAGTTTATTTGTTCCTTTTGGGGGGGGGGTCTTCTCTTTGTTGAAGCATCTCTTGATTTTAGCTTCTTGGTATATTTGTTCATATTTAGCTCTTTAATGACTCTGACTAGTCTTTTTTAATGATACATATTCTAGATAGTCCTATTTTGAACTCCTGCTTTTTGTTTTTTTCTAGCTGCTTTATTTCCAATAGCAAGGTTTTCATCAAAGTTATATACTTTCACTTTTTTTGCCTTTATGCATTATGGATTGGTTAATTAAAGTAATGAAAATATTTTGAGGAAATTACAGTCAAATTATTATTTTTCTTTGAAACTACTGGGCAGAAAATTGCAGGTAAATCATAAGTTACCTATAAATGTCTTTTTTTTTTTTTTAAATATATATACATATATTTTGAGACTGAGTCTCACTCCATTGGGTAGAGTGCTGTGGTGTCATATGTCACAGCAAGTTTGAGGAATCTTCTTGCCTCTGCCTCCTTAGTAGCTGGGATTATAGGTGCCTGCCATAATACCCACCTGGCTAATTTTTCTATTTTTGGTAGAGATGGGGGTCTCACTCTTGCTCAGGCTGGTCTGGAACTCGTGATTTCAGGCAGTCCACCCACCTTGGCCTCCCAGAGTGCTAGGATTACAGGCGTGAGCCACTATGCCTGGCTTATTTCTGCAATCTATTAATGAGGCAGTTAACAAATCTCTATGCAACAATTAGATGACCCTAATTTTTCTAATAACAGCCAGTACTCTATTCTTACAGTTTCTTCAATTTCATGTAAAGTGGTAGTTTAGAGCTTGAAAAGATTTATTTTTTTAAAGGTAAGATTATTTCATAGATTTGCAGTTTTCATTATGAGTCTCACATTTCCTTTTTTTTTTTTTTTTGTTTAATACTTAAGTTTGCTTAAGGGCTCTTTATATTTTGGGGAGAAAATCATCAATCATTTAAAAAGTTTCCCATTAAATTTTTACCTAATAAGCTTAGCATCCTTTGATGATTTATTTAATGATTATTGCTTTTATTTCTGAATTACTTTGAGCATGAGATTATTTTCTGAAAAATTCAATACCATAGGGATTTCCAGAGTAGGGATGCCAGATATGCCAGATTTTTAATAAAAACTACTTGAGGTATTTTAGAGTTAGTGTTCACAATAACATAGCTAAAAATGACCTTAAATATCCAGTGTAGACTGAGTGAGGTGGTTCGGGCCTATAATCCCAGCACTTTGGGAGGCCAAGGTGAGAGGGGATCACCAGAGGCTAGGAGTTTGAGATAAGTCTCTGCAACATAGTGAAGCCCTGTATCTACAAAAATTTTAAAAATTAGCTGGATGTGGTAGTGTATACCTGCAGTCCTGGTTACATGGGAGGCTGAGACGGGATTGCTTGAGCCCAGGAGTTGGAAGTTCCAGTGAGCTATAGTTCTGCCTTTATTTTTAACTTAACTTAAACTAGCTAAACTGTTAGAATTCCATAACTTTTCTGTACTGCTCAAATGAGAGATCCGTTTTCCCCCTTCTGTCCCCTTAGTAGTGCATTGTAAGGAGCCACAAAAATCTTCTGGCATACGTCTTTTCTGGAATGTTTTCCTTTTTCATGTTTATGCGTCTGGACTTAATGTACTTTCTATATACTAAAAGTATTTAACTTAGTACCTGGACCATTTTACTTCTCACTTAAGATGACTCTTCTACACACTGGATGGTTCACAGTTCTTATTTCAGAATCTCTCCATGGTTACTTCACTTTCTCCAGGTTCTGCTGTGTTAACCATTTGTCTTCTACTCTAGAGGTCGTCAAGACCTCTTTTACTTGTATGAAAAGAATACACTCTCCTTTCTGCATCCCTAGTCTGAAAAATGCTGACAGAACTTTTGTTTTAATTTCAAATTTACAAGAGTGCCTTTGCATTAAAAACAAAATGAGGAATGGGTTGTTTCAGGGATTGTTGAGTTACAGGATTGCTCATTTAACACCGTTTACAGTTAAAACCACTTTGTTGAACATAAAGAGAGGAGATGTAAGGTCTAAGAATATGGAAAAGCAAAAAGACTAATGTTACACAAACTATTCACCAGCAAATTGGAATAGCTTTGCAGATCAGTCTTCTAAACTGTTCATTACAATGAATCTTTTCTACTTTTCACTGTATGATAATGAAGACGTGTTTGTGGTCTTTGGATCTTCTTCCCATATCTGGTGGGAAGCAATCTCTTTGAAGCTTTAAATTGCTTTCAAAATGTAAGGTAGGCCTTTCTCTCAAGGTTTTTTTTTTGAAGAAACATTGCCATTTTTTCCCTTTAAAATTCTGGAAAATATTTGTGTTGGAGAATAATAATTTACTCTTTCCTTATCTTTTCTGTTATTTCTAATAACATAAAAACCATAATTCTTTTTTTATTTTTGAGACAGAGTCTCACTCTGTCACCCACAGTAGAGGGTCATGGTGTCACAGCTCAAGCAGCCTCAAATTCCTGGGCTCAAGCGATTCTCCTGCCTCACTCTCCGGAGTAGCTGGGACCACAGGCACCTGCCACAGTGCCTGGCTATTTTTTGGTTGCAGTTGTCATTGTTGTTTGGTATATATGGCTGGTCCCTACTCACTGAGCCCTGACCCTGAGCTCAGGGGGTTTAAGACCAGCCTGAACAAGAGTGAGACCCCATATCTAAAAAATACCTGGGCGTTGTGGCAGGTACCTATACTCCCAGCTACTTGGGAGGCTCAAGCAAGAGGATCGCTTAGGAGAATCGCCAGGAGTTTGAGGTTACTGGGAACTATGATGCTAAGACACTCAACCCAGGGTACAAAGTGAGACCCTGTCTCAAAAAAAATAAAAAAATTACATCTTTTCATGATTTTTCAAATGTTTAGCAAGCTAGATGCAGATCACAATGTGTGTAATCTGATCAAAAACCGTAATTCTTGATTTCTTTTTTCTTCTTCAGTGGCTTATAGAAGAGATGAAATGTGGTCGGAGGGACGATATGACTATGAAAGAATTTCAAGAGACCGAGCACCTCCTCGAAACCACCCCAGTGTAAGTTATTCTTACAAATGGAATACTTCAAAACCTACTGTCTAAATTAATTTAATATACCACATTCTTTATGTGTCACAAATTTACCAGTCTAGGTTGAAAATAAACCAAACTTATCTTTTAAAAGTTAAAAGTTCAAAAATAAATGACAACCTTTTATTTAAGTAGAAACTATTATTCATGTATTTTTAATTTCTAAAATGAAGGGGTTGTATGCATTTAATTTTTGAAGAAAATTGGAAGTTTTGTAAAGGTTATCAGTTAAGGTAATAATGGTTGGATAGTACCTACTCCAACTATTGACTGTCACTTATTTTTCTTTATTCCTAAAGTTATATGCATACTGGATATATGAAATTTTAAAAATAGGCATTCTTTTTAGAAAAGAGGGTAATACTGTTCCTCGAGCAGAAACAGGTGAGTATCTTTAGTGAGGATTCCTACAGGTTGCTGCCCTGTGATTAGATAGTCTGTCTGACTGCTAAGACTGCTTGGGGGCTTGGTGGCAGACAGCATGCTCATCACTCTCTTTTTTTTTTTCTTTTTTTTAATTTAAGGTTAATGTGAGGGTACAAACAACTAGGTTACAATGTTTGCATTTCTTAGATAGAGTCCCTCTTGTAGTTGTGTCCCACACCCAGAGGTGTGCCATATATACTTACATTGTGCCCATTCAGTGGGACCACACCAGTCCCCCTCCTCCTCGTTCCCCTTTCCCTATTCCCCATTCTCCCTCCCTCCTTCCACCTCCTTCCACCTTGAATTGATTCCAGTGTTTCTCTTATGTGGGTGTGTATTAGATCCTCTACTGCAGCGATTCTTAACCTATGGATCGTGACCCACAGGAACTGTTAAAGGGCCATGGCATTAGGAAGGTTGAGAACCACTGCTCCACTGGCTTCATATTAGTATTGAGTACATTGGATATTTGCTTTTCCATTCTTGTGATACTTTACTAAGAAGAGTGTATTTCAGTTCCATCCAGTTTAATACAAAAGATGTAAAGTCTCCATCTTTTTTTAATGGCCAAGTAGTATTCCAATAGTATTCCATGGTATACATACAACACAGTTTTTTAATCCATTCCTAAGTTGGTGGGTATTTAGGTTGTTTCCACATCTTGGCGATTGTAAATTGAGCTGTAATAAACAAGTTAGTGCAAATGTCCTTGTGATAAAATGATTGTTTTTTCTTCTAGGTAGATGCCTTGTAATGGGATTGTGGGATCAAATGGGAGTTCTAATTTGAGTTCTTTGAAGATTCTTCATATTTTATTCCAAAGAGACTATATTAGTTTGAAATCTCTCCAACTGTGTAAAAGTGTTTCCTTCTCTCCACATCCCTGCAAGTATCTGCAGCTTTGGGACTTTGTGATGTGGGCTATTCTCTCTGGGGTTAGATAATATCTCAGGGTGGTTTTGATTTGTGTTTCTTTGACGATTAGGGATGATGAGCATTTTTTCAAATGTTTGTTAGCCATTCATCTGTCTTCCTCAGAGAAGCTTCTGCACATGTCTCTTGCCCAGTGATAGATGTGATTGTTTGCTCTTTTCTTGTTGATTAGTTTGAGTTTTCTGTAGATTCTAGTTATCAACCCTTTGTCAGATTTGTAACATGCAAATATATTTTTCTGTTTGGAAGGTTGCCTATTTCCTTTAATTGTGCCCTTAGCTGTGCAGAAGCTTTTCTGTTTAAGTCCCATTTGTTTATTTTTGTTGTTGCAATTGCCAATGAAGTCGTCATAAAATTTTTTCCCAGTCTGACATCATCAAAAGTTTTCCCCACAGTTTCTTCTAGGATTTTTATTGTTTCATGTCTTAGATTTAAATATTTTATCCATCTTGAGTCAATTTTTGTAAGTGGTGAAAAGTACAGTCCGATTAAGTTTTCCCAGCACCATTTATTGAATAAGGGATTCTTTTCCTCTGTGTATGGTTTTGTTTGGTTTATCAAAGATCAGATGGCTGTAAGAGACTGATTTCATCTCTTGGTTTTCTGTTTGGTTCCAAATGTCTATGTCTCTCTATTTTTGTGCCAGTACCATGCTGTTTTGGTCACTGAGAGCTTGTAATACAGCCTAAAGTCTGGCAGAGTGATGCCTTCAGTTTTGTTTTTATTACTAAGAATTGCCTTAGGTATATGGGTTTTTTTCTAGTTCCATATAAACCAAAGAATTATTTTTTCCAAATCTTGAAAGTATGATTTTGGTATTTTAATGGGGATTGCATTGGAACTGTAGATTACTTTGGGTAGTATAGACATTTTAATAGTTATTGATTCTTCCCAGCCAAGAACATGGTAAGTTCTTCCATTTGTTAATGGCTTCCTCTATTTCTTTCTTTCTTTTCTTTTTTTGGTAAAGACAGTCTCATTTTCTCACCCTCGGTAGAGTGCTGTAGCGTCACAGCTCACAGCAACCTCCAGGAGCTCCTGAGTTTAGGCGATTCTCTTGCCTCAACCTCCCAAGTAGCTGGGACTACAGGCACCTGCTGCAACGCCCAGCTATTTTTTTGTTGCAGTTTGGCTGGGGCCAGGTTTGAACCCACCACCCTCGGTATATGGGGCTGGAGCCCTACTCACTGAGCCACAGGTGCTGCCGGCTTCTGCTATTTCTTTTGTTAGAGTTTCATAATTCTCTTTGTCTAGGTACTTTACCTCTTTTGTTACATATATTCCTAGGCATTTTTCTTTGAAGCTATTATGAAGGGAATTGTGTCTTTGATTTGGCTATTTTTGGCTGTTATTAGCATATACAAGGGCCACTGATTTGTGGACATTGATTTATACCCTGACACATTACTGTATTTTTTGATCACTTCAGTAGTCTTGTAGTAGTTGAGTGCTTGGGTTTTTCTTTTCTTTTTTTTCTTTCTGGCATTGCGGTAATATTTATTCTGAGCACAGGACAGGTCTCCTCTCTCCTGACCTGTGGTGGGCCTAAGGAGGGAAGCCCAGGTCTGTGTGTGTAGGTTGAGGCCTCACCAATGTGCAAGTGGGGACTCCAAGGCCTCCATTAGTGCATAATGTGAACAAAGCAACTGCCCTCTCCAGGGCCTCCTAGGGACAAGAGAGGCCTGCATAGCCAGGAGCCAGCCTGGCCCAGCTCCATAAGGCAGGAAGCAAGGGCAGGGGGTATGTAGGGTGGGAGGTAGTCCCTGGCCCCCAGGCTAAAGCCCACACAGGCCTGCTACTTGGCCCTGGTTTGCTCCCAGGAGGACGTGGCTGAGCAAAGACCCAGGACTCAGTGCTGGGGCCCATGCTGGCTTCCCCAGTACTCACCTCTCCAGCCCCACCACGGGAGCTTCACTTGAAATAGACAGTGAGATATGGGGTCTGTATGAGTGCATGTACAGTGTGTGCACATACAGATACACGTAGAGAAAGGAGTAGTGTTTTGCCCTTATCCAGTACTTGTTACTAAGAGTGCTGACAAACAAGAATCACTGGCCCCACTCTACAGAAGGGGAAAATCAAGGCACAGGAGGTTTAAGCAACTTTCTCCTGGCCAGGCCCAGGTTCTCAAGGGGACGACCCAGCTTGTCCTCCTTGTCTTTCAATTCCTGACCCCTCATGGGCCAAGGCCCAGGAGCAGAGCCAGCCACGGGGGCAGGAGGCAAAGTCAGAGAAACCTGCATGTCCAGCCCGGTCACCTGGCCAGGTGGTGGGCTCTGGAGTCAAAAAGTCAGGTCCCCAAGAGGAATTTCCATACATGAACCAACTGTTACGCCTGGTTTGGAAGCCCAAGAAGGGCACAGAAGAGATCCCAAGTGGGTCATGGTAACTACACACAAGAACATGGCTGTGCCAACTTGCAAGACACCCAAGTTCAAAACACCCTCTTTTCATCCACTTCAGGACCTCCTTTGAGAAGGATGCCTTCTCCAGTGTCCCACCTCAAGTGGAATCAAAATCAAGAGACCCACAAAACTGAAGTTCAAGAAGAAAAGGGAGATTCAGCCTTTAAATTTTCTTTAAAAACCACTGGTTAAAAGTGAAGATTTTAAAACCAAAAGAATATAAAACATTAAAGACTCAAAGGAACATTTTGGTCTGGGCAGCAAGAAAAGCACTGTAGCCTCCTTGGCTGCATTTGAGGGAGTGACAATGGATTGGCCTCTGGGCAGGCAACAGAGTCACCATTTCCTGCAAGCGCAAGGGGTGACCTGACTCTGGTGGCCCTGGTACCAACTACCCTAGAGTCCCTTCTCTCAGGAAAAGCTGGAATCTTGCAGGGCTGGGGGAACCTGGGAGCACCTGCCTCCCCTCAGGTCCCCATGGTCCTCCATGACGAGACCCCTGGCGTACATCAGCAGAGGAGGCAGGAAAATACCCCTTCCTCACCCCCACTGCCCCCACTCTCTGGGAACCTGAAACCAGGGGCTAGGAATGAAATCAGAACCTGGAATGAGCAGGCAGCTACAGCAACTGCGCATGCCTCTGAGAGGTCCTGAGAACAGAGGTGAGGCCCAAGGCAAAGGCCAGGGAGGCCCCTGCTTCACTCAGAGCCTCAAGGATGTCATTTATTCATTTGGCAAATCTCTATTGAGTGTATAAATGGATGGGTTAGTGGGCAGGATTACAGAATGAACAACTGTCACCTGCATGTTTACCCATTTTGTGCCTGAGCAGGAACCCAGGAGCCAGTTCTTTCAAGGTGGCAGAAAACCAGGTGTAAGTGATAGGGAATGTGAGTTCTGGGAGACTCAAGGTGGGCTTGGGATGCAGGGACAAGAATGATGGAGCTTGGGAACATGGTAGTATGTGTGTAAACAAGTGACATCTTGGCTTGCCTCAGCAGACTGCATGGCCTTGGCAAAGTGTTTTCAATAGGTGGAGTTCCTTTAACAGTGGTGACACTGGGGTGAGGAGGGCTATTTTAGATCTCAGGCAAAAAAAATGCCCCCATAAGAAGGGAATGTTTTAGGGCCTTCAGGATACTGAGGCTCAGAGTGGGGGCAGAGACTTCCCAAGGTCACAGAGCAAGTCGGTGGAAGACTGGG